TATATATATATATATATATATATATATATATATAGAGAGAGAGAGAGAGAGAGAGAGCCAGGCTTATTGAATCATGGCTAAATGGAAAATAGCCATTGTGGCTGACTGCTTACCCGTACAATGTGACTAGACAAGATACCCTGGGAGTTCAGGGCTGTAGGGAATCAACTGGGGTGGGTGATGATAGGGTTAGCTGGTTTCTGTTTATGAGGCAGAGCTAGTGAAATTCACACCATGGGAAAGGTTATATAAGCAGGTGAACTGCTTTCCCTGATTCACCAGAACAATGAACATGCATGAACATTTTATCACCATGGCAGCACTGGCTCCGAGAATGAAAACCACAGAGGTACAAGGTAGGAACAGCAGATGTGAGATAAGTCAAGCCATGCTGGACTCACACATGTTCATGTGTGCTCACATGTGCTCACATGCAGTCACTCTCATTTGTATTGCACTGTCAGGAGCTGGGGGCGGGGAGGGGGGCAGCTCAAGGCTAGACCTTGGGATGAGTGTGCATTCGGCCCAACACTCCAAGGAGGCAGGGGAAGATAAAATAGAGGTTGTTTTATATAGGCTTATTCTGAGAAAATTATGTTTTAAAATCAACAAAAATAATTGAATGTTCAGCAATTATAGAGCTGCTTTGCTGTTTCAAAGCCTGGATTATCTCAGGGATGGTACTCTAGCATTAATTCTAGAAACACAAAAGGTTTAAAGAGAACTGATTATTTTAGCAAATCCACAGTGCTAATATATTGTTTGTTATTTATTTTTAACAGAATCAAATTTTAATATTACCCTGCTTTTTATTTTTCATAGAAAATTTACATTTAAGAAAAAAAAATTGGTCATACTCCTATTTGGGCCCAGGTTGCTCTGCTATTGTCTATTGCCCTCTGTAAGGGATAAATGATTGCCACTCTCATGCAAAATGCGGTAGTGAACACAGTCCATTTCTAATGGAGGAGCCTTAGAGAACAGACCCCAGCACTATGGGAAATTGCACCTACCTGTGCCTGATTTGTGAAGCCAAGGATTCAGGGTCTCAGGTAGCTCAGGCTAACCTTGAACTTTCTATTTAGCTGAGAAGGACGTTGAGCTATTGTTTCTCCTTCTAACTCTCAAATTCTGGAATTGTAGGCATATGACACCATGCCTGTGTCAAAGTTCTTAAAATTGAACCTGAATAAGTAAAAACCTGACTGATAAAAGCATACACAATACACAGCAATGTTGTCCTTCAGAAATTAGTGAGAAATAAAGAGTCTGAAAGCTGAAGTGTTCTTCACCCCCAGACCTACATGCAAGAGGCCTCTGTGAATTACAATACATCATGCTTCTTTTGTTGCATGATGGCTTTATTCCATAGAGATGAGCTAGACCCACTTTTTAGATAAAATTCACAAATGTAGTCTAATATGACCAAATAAATTATTTAGGAGCATTAAAATTAAAATGAAACCCCAACTCTCCGTTTGTCTTTCATCACAGACCATGTCACTTTCAACTTGCTTTGGATTTTTGATTCCAGAAGCCAAACACAGATTTTAAATCTCAAAAGTTACCTGGAATCGGAGAATGGGGAAAAGAAGGAAGGAAAAAAAAGCCACGTTGAGTTAAAATGATGTGGAAGTCAGCCATATGGTAAAAAGGAAACTTAGGAGAAAGGGTAGGGAAGCCTCGGGTACCAGAAAAAGTATGTGTAGGTTTTGGCCAGCATCTGAATAAAGAGAGAGAAGAAAAATGAAAAGTTGTGCTCTTTCTGGAATTAGAATTCAGAAAGATGAGCATACCCAGCAGAACCTAGTGGCGGCTTGTAGAGACTGGATTCTGCAAAGTATTTTATTTGTTCAGCTAAAGACTGGCTCATTTTCTGCTTCCCTGTGGTTCCCCTAGCCAAATCCCTAACATTGACTTTAACCCAGAGCCAAGCAGGGCCCTCAGTTGTTGTTTATTTTTTTTAACTACCTTTCTTCTGAGCTGTTATTAATGGTGCTGGCTACATGTACCTACAAGGCAGACAGCAATTCTATAGTCGTCTTATTTCCTAAGCTAGAATTAAATTTGTACCAAGAATCATTTGAAGTTCAGTGAAACTGTGGATAACACTTCAGCTAAATTGCCTTGTGACTATTTTTATATCGGCATATATAAGAGCCATGATCATCCTAGAAAAAAAAAAAAAACTTACGGTTTGCTGTGAATTCAAGTAGTGGTAGTTCTAGTAAAGCTAGTTATTGCCACAAATAGAACAAAATAACAAACAACAAAGAAACTGTGTGGGAAGGAAGGAAAACTGCCTGCACCTTAGTTTCCTTCCTGGAGGATAGAGCAAGCAACAAAGACACATTGTGGGAAGGAAGACTAGCTGTGCCTTCATTTCCTCCCTGAAGGGTAGGCAGGCATAGTCCACTTCCCTCTGTTCCTCAAACATCTCCCTCCACTGCCTCTTCTCCTTAGAAGGGAGAACTGCCTTCTAAGGCAAGGAGAAGCCTTGGAGACATGGGTCAGTCAGCAGGCATGTGCCACTGACTTCTACTTAAAGAGGATTTGCCCGTTTTCTTTGAGTGTGTTAATTTGTTCTCAGAAACTTTTGAAATTTTATACAAGTGCTTTGCTATTTACCTAGGTAGCTGCTGACATTTAATTTCATTACTTGGGAATTTATAACATGATAGCTGTGTGTAATCAAAATTGTGCAGTAATTCCTTAGGGCTGATGTTCTTGTTGCCCAGCTCGCATGGAGCATCTGGACCCAGCACAGCCTGCAGAATACACCACCATCCACTCCAGAGAATATAGGAAGTGGCTGCTTCTCCCAGATGGAAGTTCTAGTGACTTGCAAGCTGATTTAGAACAGGAAATGCATTGAATCAGGCATGCAAAAGTTCATAGCTTTGAGCTAGTTGTAATAAAGCAGACTCATTTCCAATCCAACATTATTCCGTGAAACATACATTAAGAGAAATTGTTTGGTGCATAGTCAGCCCTACCTAGCATTCTTTGTCATCTAATGAATTTCCCGTCCTGGGAAGAATACACTGCATCCAGAAAAGGCAGCAAAAGGCATAAGTACAGGGCATGACATAGCAGGAGAAAACATTTGGAGTTTAATTTAGTATGGGAACACAGGTAACTGACATGTCGTGGCAGGAAGTAGGCATTACTCAGGTAAAGGAATGACATAGATTCAGGTTGTAGGCGTGGGCACAGTGTAGCATGGGTGCAGGTGTGGCAAGGCAGGAGGGAACAGATGTAAGCATGGCGCAGTACAGAATAAAATGGATAGCATATATGGAGATGCTGGTGCAATCATGGCCCAGCACAGGAATGTAGATGGGCATGACTGAGCATCATTTCCTTCCCCCTCTACTCCCCCAGGAAATCTCTTGGTATCATCTGTGGCTTTTGGCCATCCCGGGTAACACAACAGACCTCCTCACTATATTTCTGAAAGAAGACATAGACTCTCTACCCTGAAAACTTATACACACCCTGCAAATACTTTTACCATTATGTGTGTAGTATCTTTTGATGGACTTTGATTCCCTGAAAATGTGGGGATTTAATGCTCTCATATACCAGATTTCTTAGATCTCCCCTGTGCCAGAGGATCAATGGTTTTCATTGAGCCTCATTCCACTGTGGTGCAGCTGAAGATGAATGCTATGCAAAGACATAAGAAAGAACCAGAAATGGGGAGGTTGAGGATGATGAGGGCTGGAGATGGTGACAGAGGCAGTAAGGATAGGAGGAAAGGGAATTTGAACATTTGGAGTGAATCAACAGGAGACATAGTTGCAAAAGCGATGCTCTGTGGCATCTTGTCTGTTGTAAGCCTCTGTGGGATGAGAACCCCATATGGATTACTTAACATCCTTATCTTACGATGCAGACATATGGAGGATATATTTCATTTTCAATATGATTTGATGTTGTTGATGAATAAAAATAGCATTGACAGTTGTTGTTATCTCTACATATGATGTGTTTTTGTTTGGTTTTTTATTTGAGTGGTTGTTTGGTGTTTTGGAGACAGGGTCTCATGTTATAGCTCTTTCTATCCTGCAACTCACTGTTTAAACCAGGCTGATCTGATAAGAGATCTGCCTGCTTCTGTATCATGGGTGCTGGAATTAAAAGTATGAGCCACCACATCCAGCTGTACATATGGTTAAAAGAGCATTCCAGGATTTTAGAAAGTTATTCTTTTCCAGTATTTAATGAAAGCCCTTTAAGAATTCAAACCAACTCATAAACAGACTTTCCTCTGATCATGTATGAAGGAAAACTGCTTCCCATAGTGCAGATTTTCAGTCATGTTGAATTATCTCTTCAATGACAGGGGAGATGTTGAGTGGAAATGTGTGTGAGATTTCATTCAGCTTTGTAATGCAGTTCTTCCCTCTTTAATGACAGCAGTCTATGCACATTCATGTGGAAGACAGGGAGATGCTGAATGGCTTCTGAAATCTCTCATTTATTGTCTGTGTTGAATTAATGAAAAGTGTGAACCAAACTTTCCACATACTTCAATCAAATCCATCATCAGACTGAATGGTGTTTGTGTTTCATATCACAAGTCTCTCAAGGTGTTAAAATCGGTCATCCATTTAGCTCACTGGCATCTTAACATTTTCCCACATCCACATGCACTCATGCCTACATACATAGATACACACAAACCCTTGCACTTACAACATACACATAGCACAGACAGACACATAGGCATGCACATACATGTTGTGCACATGAATACACATCCCACACACTACCTACAAACATTCACACACACTTTCATTACTGTTCTCTCCGATCACACTAGCACTGATATGCACACATACCAGAGTGCACATATTTGGGCACATGTGCACAAGCATGCAGACACTAAAGCACATGGGTGTCAGCTCATACAAATACAATGTTTATTAAAGACTGCTATGAAGAAAGGTTGCTAAGATTTCCTTAATGATGTTGCTACTTTTGCAACCCTGCAGCTGACCAGACAGAGATGTTGTTCATAGGAGATGCTGTGCTGCAGGTCAGTGCCTTAAACTTTATTGCATCTTTAACTCTATTGAATCTTTACATTTTAAACTTATTCCAGCCAATAATTATCCTCAAAATTCTTCATTTGTCATTGTTCAGGTGAATGGCATTAATGTAGAAAACGCAACCCATGAAGAAGTGGTAAGTCTTACATTGTGCTTCTTTCTTCTAAAAGTTTGTTTCTATTAGCCTAAATTTACCTGAATGTGTTCATAGACACAATCTTAGAATTGAAAAGCAGTGCTTGAGTTAGCTAATTGCAGCATACCAGGGGCCTACAGGTCTTCATCAACACTGAAGAAAACACATCAGATTTTTCCCACTTTAAATTCAAGGGCACAGGAATTCAGGAAACATTCAACTCACTACATTGCCTAGAGGGTCACCTCAGAACAAAAATCAGAATCTTTCAGGCTTCCCTCGAGATCTTTCTAATGTCACATAGACCCTCACTGTACAGTCATCTTCACACTAGCATCTAAGTGTATAAAATGTATGGTGTGGAGGGGTCAGCTGACAGGCATATTTGGTATTTGCTTAAGATGATGTGGGTCAACAGTATTTATAAGCAATTCACTCCCAAGAAAATAAACTCAGGTCATGTTGGGGTAAAAGGGTAAATGCAAGAGCTACCTCATCTTGAAGCAGAGAGAGAGCCCCACAGTACAGCCACTCAGAGAACCTGCTGCCATGAGACCTGTGTAATAAGGGAACTAGCTGCCTGTGAGAGAGGGAGCAAATATGGAGATGGCACATTTGAGAGGAGGGGGGTGAGTTATTGGCAGAGCAGGCTACATGCCCAGGGGCTGAGCAGAAAGGAGGTGTGAAAACAGAGCAAGGAGGAGAAGCAGAATTACTGATATAAGAAGCAGGCATGAGATTAGAGGACACACCTATGGGTTCCTCTTGGGTCTCTTTCTGTGTTGCAGTAAAACTTAAATAGGCTCTCAATTGGTTAGTATTACCTAATGGTCCTTCTTTGATTCACTGCTGCTTTTTTTGTAAGTCAGTTCTATTCTGAAATAAGGCAAAGTCCCCCTCTCTGCCCAGAGCTGAATTTACATGAAATCAAATGAGCGTTTGGAGTGATTTGTGCCCAAAATGAATACCTGCTCAGCACAAGCAACTCATTTATTAATTTCCTCACTCAGGCCATATTTATTGCTGTTTCCTGTGTGCCAGGCAAGAGGGAGATTCACAAAGGGGCAGACATGTTTCTTGGCCTCTAGAGATGTTGAGAGTTATGATCAGCTACGGGAAGCATACTCATTACTGGCTTTCCAGATTTAGTCATTAATATTGCTGTTTGTCTTTTGCAAAGTACATTTTTAATGGTAAGAAAACATATTGTAATAGAAAGAAAGGCCATGCACTTTTTAACACTAGTAGTATTGTAAATAAAATTAAAAGCATTTATCTAAGAAATAATTTCTTGAGTAAATGGCATGTAGAGTTTAAAAATGTTGTTATACCCAAAAAGTACTTGACATGAATATACTTTTATCAAATTTTATGACATCATTATTTTGTGATACAAAGTAAATTACAGGAGCAGTATTAATTAATATGTAATCTTAATTTGTCAGAATCATAAATTTTATAGAGATATTCCATTGGTAAAAGACCTCATACATTGCAATTTTGTTCCCTCAATCTTACAATAAATTCTGGGTTTAGTTCATAAAGAAAAGTTATCAGTTATACCCAGAGTAAAAAAAAAAATCTCTCTAACATAAATCTCTCTGCAAGGTGACATATCTGCAGCTGATTTGAAGAGAAAAATCTATGAATTGAGGTTGATAAAGGTTTAAAACATATAAATATATGATTTGATAGATAAGTTCTCTTTTTAGCACAACTGTGCTTCTCTCACAGTGCTGTATGGATTATAGTAGCTGTGGGAGACAGCAAGCTGTCCATACTCTCACTGTGCACATTCTGAGATGTGTGGCCACTCAGAGAAAGAAACCTGATGCTTGTTCTCATGCAAGCTTGAGTCCACTTTAAAGCATTGTGATACATATGTTTCAGAGATTTTTGTTTATCAACTAAAAAAAATTAATTTGAAGAATTATAAAATGAGCTACCGTTTTCCTGAAGAATATGAAATAAGTAATAAAAAGTAAACCAGAAGTTATTGAAATGGAACACAGGAAATAATGAGAAAGTTAAGAAGAATGCTTGTGCACAGGAGCTGGCAATCATGTAGCCATGTTTTTCACCATTCCTCCAGCTGTAATCAAGATAACTGGCTGCTTTAAATATCTTATAACTGCTCAGAGACTTGGATCTAGACATGGATGCTTGGGAGCAGCTACTATCACTTGAGACTTCATTCCAGTCGCAGCTGTTATGGCTACCACACCGTTAACAGCTTTGCTTCAGGAGACTCTGCTTAAGTCATGGCTACTATAGATACCCTGCCACAGCTAACTTGATTTAGCCATAACAGTTTCAGAAGACCCTGAGACAGCCCAGCCACTTACACACTGCTCCATTGACTGCCCTGTAGCTGCTCCTTGTATAGAGTGGGGGAATGGCTCCACAACTCATGACTGCTAATGGGCATGCACGATTGGGTATGTAAACAGTTATCTGCTTACATTTTGTGGTAGCAGTCCAAGAGACTGTACACTGCCCCTGCCCCACTACTATACCCTAGCCCCACTGGAGTCTTTATGATGGGTAAGGCTAAGCTGAGCTGATAACATGAAGAACAGACAGTGCTTAAGCTTCCAGCCTAGACATTCCAATAGCCCCTAGAGGGGGGGATGAAGAGTTCTGAGTAACTTAGAAACAGAGATTCCAGAGAACTGAGATTTAAGCTTTGGAGTGCTGAGGCTATACACACTACAGATGTGTTAATAAAATAAGAGATGGGAGGGAGAGGGAACTGGGATCGACATGTATAAATAAATAGATAGACAGATAAATAAATAAATAAATAAATAAATAAATGAGATGGTGGAAAGCTGACCCTGCAGAAGGCTAGCCCCTATACAAAGCCAAGACCACGAAGAGCTACAGGACCAAACAGTAGAGAGCACTGGAACTCTCTTTGTCTGGCTGCCAAGGATTTGTAACCCTGGGTGTGGGAGACCCTGAAGCCCTGAGCTCACACTGGGTTGAGCTTTTCATTGTGAATCTGTGATTTCAATCTGAAAAAAAAAAGTGAAGTAATTCCCAGTAATTCCCAGTAATTCACACTTCCCCATCGCGCCAAGCATTATGCTGTTATTCAGTGATACATTTGATTTTACCAGAGACATTAGGAGAAGAGAAGACATGTATATGCATATTTACCTCTGTGCAAGCATATGATATATGTGCAACTGTGTATCTGTGTATAAATATGTAAAATATGTACTAGATGACCTGTTTTTGAAAATCCTAGGAGAAGCCAAGCCTCCAGCCATAGGTAAAACTTTGTCCTCAGATAAACATTTTAAAAATCTTGAAAGTCAACAGATTATATGGAATCTATTCTCATTATATAGGCAACTGTCACTTAAGAGTCTGCTGAGGGTGGTTGCTAACCATATCTTCAGAACCTGTCCTAGTGACACCAAGATTAATATTTAATTAGATAACTGGGTGTTTCCCAGTAAGATTGACTCACAAAATCTACTATTTTATCCAGTTATTAATTGCCATATTATGTGATGGTTGTACTGAAATATGCAAAGGAAAATATTCCCACTTGAAAATTGTCTTAGCTTTGTTCAATTGGCACAGAAAAAGGAGCTGCTACCTTGAGTTGTAAGGAAAATATGAAATTCTTAAAAATATAAATCCAAATATGAAAAATGAACAAATGGAGCTTTTACATTACTTGATAATGATGAATACTCCAAAGATTGTCTTCTTCCAATTAAAATCCAATTGCCTAGGTGCATGAAATTGGGTGATACAAAGAAAATGAGAAGGTGGAAACTGCTTCAAAGTGTATAATTATTCATGGAAGTAAGACATTTGATTTTCCTGAGGCTAGAACTTGCCATGGCTTACTTATAATCTATTTAAGCACAGATACCAAATCAAGCAGTAAAATGGACCTGATTCAAAACAAAAAACTCTGGTGGAAGCTAAAATTGTGTCTAGTTCCCAACAGAGTAAAGCATGTTGGGCCCAGTGCCTACAGAAGCTAACATGAAGTGCATAGCTACTAAAACAAGGACTTATCTATAGCATGTGTGTGGCTTCTAAGTAGATGCCTCTGTTTAAAATAAGCCAGGGGGAAAAAAAGAAAAAAAAAAAGGCTAAGTGAATGTTAGAAGCTAGTTATGAAACGGTATAATCTTGGTTCTGATATGAAATCACTTGGGGTAACTTCTTTTTAAATACACTTTACTTATTTAAACAAAACCAAGAAACATTCACAGTTGCAGAGGATCTTAGAAAACGAAGTTTCTTGGACCAGTGGGAAGAATCCACAGGAAACCCAAATGAAAACACAGGGAAGGCTGATGTATGACTGACTTTTGCCTTTTGCTTGTTTTGTTAAGGAGGATACAAACAGAAATCTATTCACCTCAACCATGTACCAAAGATATTTTCCACCTCTCTGGTTGGGGAGCTGATGAGCTTGTTGGGGCTACATAGAAGAACAAGGGTGGATGAAGGGAAGCCGCACCTTCATCATGTAAGGCCCACCGCAGCATGGGCAATATCGCAGAAAGCAGATATGCCCAACCTGCACGCAGCTCCTCCAGAGAGTTTCTTCCCCCATTGCTACTTTCAAAGCCTTAGAGAGAAAACTTGTCAGTCTTGTCCATTTCTGAACTTGCTTGGCCTTGTAAGTTTCCTTTGTTTGCTGAGTTCTAGAGCTTACTTCTTCATCCAGGAGAGAACATTTTCCCTGAAAGAAATAGTTACAAAACAGTTGGAAGTGTGAAACTATACCTGAAAGTTAGGAAGCATCAGCCAGTCCAGGAGCAGCAAATGCAAACCACATAGCACAGAGTAGGCAGTAGGATGTCCCTATCTTCGCAGGATTTCTTTTTTTTTTTTTTTTAATTTTTTTCTTATTTTACATATCGATCCTAGTTCCCTTTCCCTCATTCCCTTACTCCCTCCCATGCCGCTTCCCACCACCCTCCCATCCCACCGCCCCCCCCCACTTCACAGGGAGGGTGATGCCT